CTGCCATTCAGTTTGGAGTTCAGGAGATTGTCTTGACCAGGACCACACCCCTAAATGCATTGAAGCAACTGCCATGTGATTGGTTGATTAGATAATTGCATTAATGAGAAATTGAACAGGTGTTCCTAATAATCCTTTTGGTGAGTGTATGTATGGTTTTACAAGAGTAACAAGGGAACAAAACAAGAGGCAGCTGGAGTGAATCACAGAAGGGCAGGAACAAGTGGTAAGACTATTATGAAACATTTGAGGCTCGTTAGGGCTATACTGGGGAAAGAAACAGGACGATCGGCTGGGCAGGGCTTGACAATACTCACATGACCTAGGTGTTGCAACCTGAAGATCATCGACTTCTTGTACTGTGCAAAAAACAGAAGCTATTATGGATTTGTCACAGCAAATGTGCAAGTGTTAAATTAACACTGCATGGTGTTTAAATGGGTCCACATTGAGTGCTACCTTTAACACTTTACAGTGCGCAGTGAGTGTTGTTTTTGTAGTGTTAATCTTTATTAACTCTAATAGTGTTCAATTTACACCATAGGGTGTTAAGTCAATGAGTCTCCACCTCCACATATCTGGCCCATTTTAATATGCGAGCAAGTCATGAGGATCAGAAGAGCCGTCCCAGATTTACCCACCGTCATGAAAAAGACTCTGACCAAAAAGGACCTTACAGCTTTTTCTGGTTGTACATTGGTTTTGCTGCTTTAGTTCTGACTGATCTTGGAAATTAGAGAGCTTTGGGCTTGGTGGTTTTTTTTAGCATGTTGGTGTCAAGTCAGAAGAATACTCTTGGAGACGTACTGGACACGTTTCCTGAGTGATTTATATTTCAATGGTATTGTGGTGTATTTGCTAGTCCTGCCCTTGGATGATTAACATCTGTGGAAAAGTGTTGGGACAGGTGTGATACCCTTTACCGTGCAACTACTGGTACCACCCACTCCCCTGTAGACCAATGGTGCTGGATGTATATTTGCATAGTATGACACAGTACTGTCTTTGCATAAATTTTTTTTTTTATCCACCACACTTGTGATGAATGGGGTAAGAAAACAAAAACCACAGAAATGGCTTTTGAGTGCTAGCCAGTCTCTAGGCTAGATGGTTTAGCCTCTACAAATTAACTAGAGAAGCCATGTTCCTATGAAAAAACAATTATTTTGTTTCTTTTCTAAGCCTATGCTCTCTAGGGAGGACGTCCAGACCTACGCAGACAAATTACACAGGCAACCCAGAAAAACTAGTAATAAAATGTGGTGAAGAATAATATCAGTGCCATACCATCCTCGACTGTGGTGGGTTTTTAAAAATTAAACTTAATGAAAATCAGAATATTAAATAAGCAAAGTGATTTGATTTGTTCTTCTATCCCAAATTGTGGTCTAAAAGCAAAAAGGCCACCACCCATTATATCTGCTTTAGCGGAAATACACTTCTTCAACCATTAAGATAGCTCTCACCTTTTTGCAGCCCTGCTAAATTATGTTATGCACTCTAACACAGTCTAGCTTCATAATCTGTGTTTGGTGCCATACATCTCACTCACTTTTAGACCACAGGCAGTTATCAGGTGAGTTTCACTGGTTCTTTCTTACGCTAATCAAAAAGATCTACCTTATTTATGCTTAAGTAAATGCATCTAAAAACACAGTTTTTCAGTGTTTTCCAACATACATGAACACAGTTCTTTGGGTATCAAGAACTGAACTGAAATTAGAACTTCCATAAAAGGAGAAAAGGCTATGTTGGTCTGAGTCTTTCTTATTATGGTAGGTTAGGTAAACACAGCAGCTGAATGCCCAAATGAGTTCAAATGAGAGTACATTTAAATAGGACAGATATGGGCCACCCATTTTGTACTTGCGTGCCACCCATACAGTATGTGCTTGCAATTTGGAAGAGGTTGTGGACACATTGTCTTAACACTCTAGGTTTTAAATTGAACACTATTAGAGTTGATAAATATTAACACTGTAAAAACAACACTCACTGCACACTGTAAAGTGGTAAAGGTACCACTAAATGGTGTGGACCCATATAGACACCATGCAGTGTTAATTTAACACTGGCACATTTGCTGTGTAGGACAAAACAATTGTGTCATTTCCATGAGCCCAAGAGTATGTCAAATGTTGCAGTTTCGAAAATAATGTCTTCTTACAAACATCTTCCAAAGTCCCTTTCAGCTCAGAGACAGCACTCCTCATGTCCACAATCAAATGCATCCTGGGAGAGGTGGGAAACCCCAGAGGGGCAGATGCGGTCTACAAAAAGAGCAACAGACATTCCTTTAATGCAAGACAGGAGCAGAAGAGTGAACTTCCAGTTCAGAACAACAGTGGAAACTGCTTCCAACAAGACAGGAATGCAACCTGGAGAAAATGGATTGGATCCACTATTTGTAGGAGGCCTTCAAACTCAGTACATCTCCTCTTCAGCTCTGTAATTTCCCCCTCCACTTGTTCCTGCAGGCCATTAACTTGATTTAATACAGCCTTCTCCTGATCTCGGATCAGCCCTTTCACCACAGAGCGTCTACTTTCAATTAAATGGATCATCTCAGTGAGGACCCTCTCACTGTGCTCCTCCGCCTCCTGCACAGAGATCTGTTGGAGAGGAATGAACAGCCATTATAAATGTACCCAGTAACATCTCTCTATCTATATTTTGTCTTATCCCTCATCCTACTGACATATTTTTAATATTTTCCAGCCTACAGACTGGGGTGCCTGCGGATCCCAAGAAGAATTTACTGCAAGACACAATCATAACAGCAAAATAATATTTACAGCAAAATGTATTTCTTCTGAAAGCATTATTAGTTCCGTAATTAATGTCATCTAAAGAAATAATTATTACAATTAATTTACATATTTTGTAAAACAAAAATCTATACTTTTCTTTAGTATAACTTGCACCTTTTATTCCAAGTACAATTAGCATTATTACTTCAAAGCTTATTGACCATCCTTTAACTGTGGTATAACTTACTTTTCAGCAATTTTATGTAAATATTGTGTCCTGTTTATTTGATGAAACCAGTAGGGGTCATTTTAACCCAAATATAAAGTTATTAAAACAAACACAGTGATTCAAACTTCCACACTTTTAAATTTCATTTTGTCTTTCAATACAAAGCAGTAACAGCTAATCTGGCCAGTTTTGATCTGCTTGCCATTTTTGCCTATAAAACAAAAGCTGCTGTTATAAAAAATTATATTATATAGTTATATTCCAGATTTATTGTCAGCCAAGCAGATCTTGGAGCTGTGAGAAATCTCCTTCTCCTTACATGCCCATCCTTCCCCCATCCCCTTAAAAATGGTTACATTTGTGTTTTTGTACACTTACACCCTGTTTTCCAAAGTCTTGCTCAGTGGAATTTAGAGTCCTGACTGAGCCAGACATGGTTCTTCCAAAAAGCTGAATTATCCGGCTCTCGGGTTCATACTCACGGTGACTGAGTTCACAACCTTCCTCAGCTCCTGTAGCTCCTTCTCTCTCTCCTGGATCATCTGCTGCCATTTTCTCTGTCTCACCCCAAGCTGTAACTGCATTTTTTTTAATTACTCCATTTTTCTGTAAGTAATTATCCAGCACAGAGTTACCGGGAACTTGCAGCCTATAACAGGAAGCACAGTCAGGGACACCCGGGATAGGATGTCAGTCCATCATAGGAACACACACTATATAGGGGAATCAGAAACACTAATTCACCTGAATGCAGATTTTATATATTTGGCTGCATATGTACCAAATAAATTTGAGTTCCATTATTTATTTGTTAATTTATTTGTTTGTTTGTTTAAAGGTATTTAAGTATTTTAATACTTTCTTTTTATTTAATGTCTTTTTCGGTCTAGTTTCTGTTTCGTGCTATGAGTTTTTGACCATTTTTGACCATTTTTCTTTAAATTATGAAATTTGTATTTTTACTGAGCTTCATAATTTACTTTTAATTTGAATTTCTTAAAAAAGAATGATGCCCTCAAAAAGTAATCAGACGTACAGCATGCAATATATTATATATTATAAATAATAGCAAAGCTTAAATGAACATTGTGAACCCTTCTCTCGCTGCTTTACAGTATAAACTACGGAAGAGGATTAGGGCCACCATGAAAATATTATTTGAATTCTGACTTTTTTTCTAAACTCAGAATTCTTTTTTCTGAGGAAAAAAAAGTCAGAATTCTGAGATTAAAGAAGTCAGAATTCTGACATTGACATGGAACCTTTTGTAGGATGCTAGATATCACATTTCTATGAAAGAGGATTAAGACCACCATGGAAATATTATTTGAATTCTGACTTTAGTCTCAGAATTCTGACATTAAAGTCAGAATTAAAATAATATTTTCATGGCGGCCCTAATCCTCTTCCGTAAAAAGCACATCTGTGGTCACCTTTAAATTCTTTTCGTAGAGTCGGTCTTAGCCCACGTGATGCTGTAGGCACCTTCCCGCCCTTCGTTGCCCAATACCGCCAATACATGTATGAGAAGAGTGAAGAAATATTGCTGTGCTTAATATATATATATATATATAGAGAGAGAGAGAGAGAGTTTAATTTTCGCTTTTAATATTGTGACATATGACATGTTTACGTAATAAATAAAGTTGCAAATAATAATATTATAATATATATATATATTATTGAACGGAGATTTGAAGTCATTTCGTATGTTACGTGCAGTGGCGCGTAGTTTGTTTTTTTTTCTTCTCTTTCTTTCGCGCCTTCCGTTGTTTTAGACCAGCCCTTCGACCCGATTGTTTCCCTTGCCCTTATTATAATATACTTTAATTTTGTGTAACGACATATGACATGTTTATGTAATAAAAAAAAGTTGCAAATAATAATATTATAATATATCTTATTGAACGGAGATTTGGAGTCATTGCGTGTATTACAGTACGTGCAGTGGCGCGAAGTTTGTTTTTTTTCTCTCCCTCTCTTTCGCGCCTTCCTTTCTTTTAGACCAGCCTTTCGACCCGATTCCCTTCCTCTTATTATTAATTTAATCGCGAACCACAACAAATCTGACATCAGAGGCAAAATATCATTTTATTTATGTTCATTTTTATTTTCACTTAGTTTTTTTATTCACTTAGTTTGGGAGTTTGTTGTTTTAGTTCTCATTTTCTGATTTAGTTTCGTTTTGATTTTGAATGACGGAAAACTTTTGTCATCGCTATAGGGTCAGTATATGTTAACAATAAAAACCTTGACTTGCTTGAAGCAGCTTTCAGTAGGAAATAAGTCAGACCATTTTTCACTTTATACTGTAGCAACATCATAATAAGGTTTTGCCCCTTTTCAAAAAACAGCCACAAAATTTCATTGACTAATTTTTTGTACATTTTCCATTTAGATTGAGTAGCCAGGCTTACAGTAATTTCTGTGTCATCAAAGCTGATATACAAACACCGTAAAAAACAGAAAGCATTACATGTTCATGTTTAATTCATTTTATATGAGTATTTCTGGCCTGACCTGTATCTCCTCCCTTCGTGCAGCAGCTGAGACTGTATCATGGCCTCTGTGTTCATACGTCATACAGAGATCACAGATACACTGCTGGTCGGTACGGCAGTAGACCTCCAGGGGTTTGTCACGCTGGGAACAGACCTTGTCCTGCAGATGTCCACTGGCATCAGTCAGCTTGTGCTTCTTAAAAGCTGGAGACTCATAGTGAGGCTGGAGGTGAGTTTCACAATAAGAGGCCAGACACACCAGGCAGGAATTTACAGCTTTGCGTTTTCTCCCAGTACAGAAATCACACTCCACGTCTCCAGGTCCAGCATAATGGTCAGCAGGCGTCTCCTTCAGTTTCTCCACCAACTCAGCCAGGATGGTGTTTCTGCGCAGAACAGGTCTGGGTGTGAAGGACTGTCTGCACTGCGGGCATCTGTAAACTCCACGACGATCCTCTTGATCCCAGCAGCTCTTAATGCAGCTCATACAGTAACTGTGTCCACAGGCTGTAGTCACTGGATCCTTCAGTTGATCCAGACAAATTGGACAGCAGAACTGGTTTGGATCTAGTGCTGCCATTTTACCACGAACACTGTTCAAATTTAGTTTCGTCATCTGTATGTGAGAGCGGGAGGAACTTCCTGCTTCTCAGGCTGCAGTAGGTGTGGTTTTGGACTGAGGCCAGACTGAGTAGAGCAGACTGGACAAACATTGGAGTATATAAATAGAATAGTTTTGTCAGGGATCAGGGCGGTTCGGGCACGGGAGCGTGGCATGGTGCAGGCACAAAAAAGGGTGGACGACCCACTTGCAGCTCAAGGAACAAAAAGGGGTTTATTAAGCCCCAATCCCAATTCTACC